AGTTCTTTTAGTAATAAATTTATCTTAATGCCACAATACCTTTGTATATTTTTAGAACATAGTTGTATTTATTCCATAAACTTTCAATGTTCTGTGTATGATCACCAGTATGATGGTTCACAAAGGTTTTACTATGATTAACAATGAAATGTGAAAATCCTAAATTACTGTTATTAATGCGTGTATAACCACGCCATTTATCTGAGTGTATTATACACCCAGGCAAACAAACTGGTTTGATTATTATTAAAAGTGCGGAGGCGGCCATTTTAAGTATGATATGTAATGAGATTTTATCTGAGATAAATAACGCATCTACCAAACCAAATACCCATATCTTTCTTTCTGGTTTTCTACCGCGATGATATTCTTGTTTGTATCGAAATAGACTTTCATCTATTTGCATAACATTTCTATCACCTCCGAAGCAAAGTGGTTTTTCAATTGCATGTTTTAAACATTATCTTTGTAAAAGATCAGTTATCTTTATTATTGTCTTTCTTCCCACGTTCATCTCTGATCCTGCCTGTACTTGAGGTTGGTTGTTAAACTATTTATAACATACCTGTAGTATGTTACTCAGAGAAACTTGATAATAATGACTCGGTGTGAATAGAAATGTGTTACTGTAATTAATACATTTATTATTGAAACACTTAAATACCGCTCCATCTCTATTTCTAGAGTATGGCATTTTTCCATATCTTGTTGACAAGATACGCATTTCACGTATCTTTTCAATACACCCTTTACGCAAAGAAACTCTATAAAGTTATCAATTATTTTACGTAATAGCAATTCTAATACATTACTATACAAATGATTCATGATGTCGTAACTCCAATCATCAGCGTTATTAATAAATTTATTCATGCTTGAAATGTCACTGGTAGATTCATTATCTCTATCTTCTCTATCTATCATTATTTTGATGGGATAAAATATTTTTTTATTTTTATAATACAAAGATCACAATAGAAACAGGCATGAATAAATTAGATGAAAGGTACAAACCTTTCTTGTTGTAACTTTATTACAACACATGAGTTAAAAAATTTCTCGAAAAATATCTTATTATAATTTTATATTATTTTTGTTTGTATTTTTTTAAGATCCTTTTTTACCCTACGTGGATAAAAGGATTTGATTTGAGGTGATTTCATAAAAACATTTTTTGATTAAACATCTCAATTAAGTTTTGTTTAAAGTTTTAATATAAACAACTATAATTTTCTAGGCAAAAAAACAATTTCTATTAGTTTTAAAAAAGAGAAGTTAAGGTAAATATTTAAGAATGTATTGAAAAATTTCTAGTCTTCCACGTGTCTCTTGTAATGATAGATTTTGATATTAATAATGAAAAAATATATGATTCAATTACTTTCTCGGTATATACTGCCTGTAATTCTCGTATAGAAGTTTTAAAATCTACTTTGTTAACTATACTTTTAAAAATTTTATGAAAGATTATTTTATATTTATTCATTTTGTATTTAT